GGGTGATAGGAAGAAGTGCCTAGGAGATGGCGTGGACACTTTGCAATGTAAAAATCAGTGCACCAAGCTACAACAGCACCATCTTTGTTGACCCGGTTTGATAACAAAATTAGGGTTGAACCTAAGAGTGCGGAGTGTGGCAAGTTTAGATGGGGACAGGTTAAAGTGGGTGAGACGAACAGAGAAATTGAAACAGCTAATGTCATGTCGGCAGATTTTAATGAAGACATCGAGAGTAGTTAAGAGGGCAGGGGAAGAGGTCCAGGTGAAGGGAGAATACTGGAGTCAAGTGAAGGAGTCAGTTGAACAGGGGCGACATTCCCGCCTGAAGAAGTGAGCACGGAGACAGAGGAGCGGGAAAAAAAAACGTTCAAAATTATGATGAGCCCAAAATTCATTAAGATTGGGGCACAAGGGTATGAAGTTGAGTCTTTTGCCGACGACTGTACATTCAGCGTCAGAGATGGGAAGGTCAGAAGCACAGGTGAACACATGGCAGGATTCGGAGGAGTGGACACTGGGTCTCAGAAAAAGTGATGGAATCTGAGGGCTGGTAAGGTCGGTGGTAACAAAGAACAAAGAGAGAACAAAGAAAATTACAGCACAGGAACAGGCCCTTCGGCCCTCCAAGCCTACGCTGATCCAGATCCTCTATCTAAACCTGTCGCCTATTTTCCAAGAATGTGTATCCCTCTGCTCCCTACCCATTCATGTATTTGTCGAGATACATCTTAAATGATGCTATCGTGCCCACCTCTACCGCGTCCGCTGGCAATGTGTTCCAGGCACCCACCAGCCTCTGCGTAAACAACTTTCCACGCATATCTCCGTTAAACTTTTCCACTCTCGCCTTGATATCGTGACCCCGAGTAATTGAGTCTCCCATTCTGGGAAAAAAAAATCTTCTTGCTATCCACCCTGTCTATACATCTCATGATTTTGTAGACCTCAATCAGGTCCCCCCTCAACCTCCGTCTTTCTAATGTAAATAATCCTAATCTACTCAACCTCTCTTCATAGCGAGCGCCCTCCATACCAGGCAACATGGTGAACCTGGTGAACCTCCTCTGCAACCTCTCCAAAGCATCCACATCCTTTTGGTAATGTGACGACCAGAACTGTACGCAGTATTCCAAATGTGGTCGAACCAAATTCCTATACAACTGTAACATGACCTGCCAACTCTTGTACTCAATACCCCGTCCGATGAATGAAAGCATGCCGTATGCCTTCTTGACCACTCTATTGACCTGCATTGCCACCTTCCAGGTACAATGGAACTGAACAACCAGATCTCTCTGTGCATCAGTTTGCCCCAGGGCTTTTACATTTACCCCGTATATTTCGTAAGGAGAGGTCCGCAGGACTGATGTTACAGTCCATAAGTTGCTTGACCTTGCACATCTTAATGTCTGTAAAAATGAGCAGAAGGTTTTAGTTGAGGCGAAGGATGAGGTGAAATTGGGAAATGGCGCAGGTTTGAGAGATGGTCAGTCGAGGTTGCTGCAGAGTGGGTTCAAGTATGTAAAGACGCCGGTGCATGACGATGATCGTGGATCACAGGATTTGGCGAGAATAGCAGTCCAAGGAACATTGCATGTCCTGAAGATATTTGTAATCTTAGGTGGATTTGAAACATGAAGGGTGAAGTATAAGTTGACCCCGACCAAGAACTTCCTGTAGCTGGTCATTTATATTGTCCTGCTGGAAATTCGACATGTTTGTCCTCAGCATGTCGTCGTGTTCTAGTGAATCACAGCATAAACTGGAGGAGCAACATCTCATCTTCAGACTACGCACTTTACAACATTTTGCAGTCCATACTAAGTTCAACAGCTTTAACTTGTGAACAATTTCTTCTTTTCCTTTTAGCATGTTATCATGTCCTCCTCTCCCCCAATCCCAATAACAATTCTTTCAAATCTGACAGGAGACACACCATTGTTATGCCATTCTCAAATTCCGATTACTTAATCTGAACTATTAGCATCTTTTCTCCACCAGCACACGACATCCACTAACCCCGCACCCCTACAAATGATAATTTAAATGTCCTCTTCACACTTCACTTCAGCCCTGAAGAAGATCCATATCGGCTAGAAACGTTAGATTGCTCGATCTCCTTGGATGCTGTCCGACCCTCTGTGATGTTCAGAATTTGTTGTTTTCAGTACAGATTCCAGCATCTGCAGTGAATTGTTCCTACATTTTGTTTAATTGACTGCCACGTATGTTCGAGGAATGCCTACCGTGAAAATGTTTTGTTCTTCCCGCTGACAGGAATTCTGGTTGACTCTTTCACCGTGTATGCCTTCATTGTTCTCCATTTCACTGCTGGTTTTCGACAAGGTGTTTGCCAAAACTCACTCCAACAGCCATGTTCTCTTCCTCAGCGACAGCCAACGACTGATACTTACCCCGCATCGATTTCAATTCATTTTTCTCCCTTCTATACTGCTGAAGATTGTGGCAAATATTCACGCTACCGGTTCCACACAGCTGAGCGCAGTCTCACATCAGCAATCTGAAACATTCATTCAGCTCCCAATGTATAGTCACCATTTTCTAAACCAGTTTACAGGGATGCTCTAAAGATGAAAAGATATTACACCTCTAGGTTTACCCTGCGGGTCGACACATATTCAATGAGGTGAGAGGCTGTGAACGATGGCCCTCCATAGCTACACCAGCTGGTGTAACAATAAAAGTCACCCTGTTAGCATCTGGGTTTCAAATTAAATGTCCTGACGCCGAATCATGCCAACTGTCTCTATCACAGTGTAGTGTTCACTTGCTAAAACTCCTCCCAAAAACCCACAGAGATCAGCAAAAACCGGCAAGAATCTGACTCTGAATTCAAAGATTGTGATTTCTACTCGAAATAGTAATGAAAACAGAATGCGTAATTGCATTATGCAGCCTTACTGACATTGTATCTTTCAATTTGAGGAAGCATCCCGTGTTGAACATTTGGAAGCAGTTAATAAATATAGAGCAGAGCAACTGATTCGACGCTTTGACCATTTGAGGAAAAAAAAATATTGAAATTACAAATTAACGACAAGCCTCGAGAACTGATTGCTTAATTTATCAAAATCATTATATTATAACAGTGTATAAATTAAACCGCTTAACGTGTATTATTCAGGTGATTTGGCAGAATGAAACAACAATTGTTTTTCCTTGAAAGTTGAAAGCACATTTCTTTCCAGATACTGTGTGATAAATGATCCTGAATAATTAAGTATCTCGCTGGATTTTCTTCCGTGTTGTTACCTGTCTTGGACAGTATTTAATGATACAGTGTAGAGGGATATTTATGTTGGAGCTGATCAATGCCTCTTCTGCACGAGAGAGATTTGTTCTGGATTTAACGTGTTGATTCTAGAAATAAGTCTCTGGACCGTGTGAAACAAATTTTATTCTTTATTATCATTGACAGTGGTTGAACGAATGTGTCCAACATAGTCCTCTGTGTTCAACATTTTTGCTGATTAAAATACTTGCTTGATCATCAATATTGAAAGTAATATCTTTATGAATCAAGCACAAACCTACAAACTATTGCAGACATAAATAACAAAATATCCATCCCATCACGCGACTGCAGTTCATTGAAGGATATACTTAATGTGGATTGATGTCAGCATTAACTTTAGATTCGTAGTGACACTTCCATTCTGACAAATCTAGCACGATAAATTGATCAATGCTGAATATATTGATGCCAACATGGTCTGTTTTCTTTACTTGGGCACTGCTGCGACCTTAAGAAACATCATTCTCAGAAAGGATCTTCAAGGTCAATGACAGTAAATGTTAAGTAATAATCGTACCGCAAAAGTGGCAAGTAATGCCCGATTTTAATTAGACTGAATGTTTCGATCACACCCTGTCGTGCAATGGCATTACTGTGAATGAATCACACTTTGTTTTCAACTTTGACCAGAAACCACACTGGAAAAGCAATATAAAATCTGCGTTGACAACAGCAAGTGAGAAGTTTATCATTTTGGGGCGTGTACATTATATGCCTTACCCAAGGCCTGTCAACTGCACTAAAAAGCACGAAATTGGATTATGATGGAATATGTCCCACGTGTTTGAATGATTGCAGTTGCGACAAGACTTATCAAGCTTGACACAGTCCAAGGCAAATAGCTTGGTCAATTTGCACACCATCCTCAACTTTCAACTGTTTCTCCGTCAGTCACTGACGCACAGTTGCAGCAGTATCTACCTTCTATCAATTGCAACCATCTGGACTTCCGTCAAAAAAATGCAAGCAGTGACATCTGCGATCCTGCAGGAAAAAGCAGACGACGCAAGGTGAATCTGGCAGCTTGAAGTTCTCCTCCAAGCCACATACCATCGCAACTTGGAATTATATCAGTTCTTATGCAGTGCCACTGGGTCAATATGTATCGAACCCTCTCCCTTATAGCGTTGTGGTAACACCTACACTCTGAAGAGTAAGGTAGTTTGAAGTAGGAATTTCACATACACCTGCTCCAGCGCGATTGGCGATGGGCAAGAGGTTCTGCTCCTGCTAGAGATGCCCACATCTTATGACTGAATTAACCAAAATGCACTTCATATGATCAAGGCTGTAAACTATGTGGTCAGAAAGAGACAACGTGTCAACCCATTTTGGTTAATTCGTGGTTAAGAAAGAAAGGAATAAGGTAAGGAGGAAGGAAAGAAGAAAAGGAGAAAGAAAAGAAGCGGATAAGTGGCAAAATACGGACAGAAAAAATGGTTAGTTATGTATTTTGCAGTCGTATTGTCAAAGAGTAGCAGAAAACGTGTAGCGCTAGGTTCCAAAAAAAAACAAACAGCTGAGCAAATAAACAGTAATTTGGTTGTTATGATATGATATAAGTGATACGTATCGGCCCAGAGAGACAGAAAGAAGTTTTTTTTTTCATTTCAGAACAGGCAGTGTTTCACACACAGCTGCACGGGAAATACTGGTAGGACAGTTTTCTGTTTTGCTCTCCCTATCGTTTTATGCAGGCGGTGAATATTTGGAAGGGACACGTCAATAGCTCCTTCAGTTCCTTTCTGAACATTTTCTGTGACACCACATAGATGAAGATGTTGTTGCAGGAACTAAGTAACATGAACAGGTTTGTAGTTTCTTGAAGGATGTACTGAGAGGCTCTAAAGTTCAGGCTGCTGACGTACTCATCGCGTGCAATCAATCTGTAAAGGAAACGTGCAATATAGGTGGCCCAAAGGAGGAGGAAGCTGAGCGTGATGGCAAAGAGCAGGACAATTGACCTCTTACGGTTGGCCATCTGCAAGTCCTCACGATTTGCAGGGCCCCGGAGCCTCTTTCGTGCTCTGCTCGCTGCAAGAATGTGCCTCATAGTTAGGACGTTGAGAAGCAGAATGAGGAGGAAAGGGAGAAAAGGGGTTAAGATACGGTCGAGCCAATGGTAAGATTGCCAGGCAGACGCAGTATGGAAGTTGGGCTTGATGTTACAGAACCAGGGCACCCCATCCAGAATGTATAAGGGGTCGTATATAAAGTAGTACGGAATGTTCTTGATGCAGATAAAAATACAAATGATTCCGATGACTAGTGATGCAGTTTTCTCAGTGCAGTAAATGGACTTCACTCTCTGGCAGCAGAAAGACATAGAACGATCAATTGTGAAGGCCACTGTCAACCATACAGAACCATCCCGAGCTGCATAGACCATCACAGCATTGATGCTGCAGCCGGGGGTGGTAGACAGGACACTGTAGCTAAAATAGATGCGTCCAATTCTGTTTAAGATGCATCCGGTAACGATGACAAAGAAATCTGCCACCGCTATTGCCTTCAGATAGTAAGTGATGCATCGAGAAAGTCCACATCGTCCTCGAGCTAGGATAACAATCGCCAACAAGTTTGCTGTGAGAGATGAAGAGAGTGAAATATGACACTGAACAGGATGAAATTATTTGTTTCAGGATTCTGGAACTGAAAGAGTACACTCCTTTGATTTTCCATGTTCAAAAATGGCCTTTTTCAAAACTGACTGTTTATGGTTCGACATTCACCACTGAATGAAACATATGTTCATACAGGCCACTCGCTGGCCACTGAGATGACTCCGACAACTGAGAATACAATTTAAACTCATCCTAAGGATTTGCTGTCCACGGTTTTAATCAGTCTAATCCAATTTATTCACATACCCTCACTAACCTACACTGTCTTTCCGTCTGGAGACATAATGGTTTTAGCAATTTCATCTCCTAATTTTGAAATCCTATCACAGTCTCTACACTCTCGTATCTGTTGAATCATGCGATCATCTGAGACCACCAAGTCTGTCCAGATTCTCTCCAATGCTGGTCTTTTGTGCCTCTCTGAAGTTAATCTGTGGCATTATTGGTTGTTGCTCATTTACTGTCGAAGTTCTCGTCAGTGAAAATCAATCCCTCAGTGATTCTGTCTCTTGTCCCTTCTATAGGTCTTCCCGCTTCCTTTCCCAGTCTCAAATTTTTTTGTTAAAACTCCTGTGAAGCACGCCCACTTTACTAGCTTCAGTGGCTTGCAGTACAATTGTAACATCACCATATCAAGTGAAAATTACAGAGAAGCAACCGTTGTTCCGTTTTATCAGAAACCACTACATCCGCTGAGGATATGAACATATGATACCACCTTGAAAGTCGAATATACAAAACCCACCAGGTGAAGACAAAATAAGAATTAACTTTAAATCTTTCAAAAACACTTGTTTCTTCCAGCATCTCTTTACTCATTCTTGATATAAGGTCAATGGTGCTGAATTATCATGAAACATAACAACGTTACTATTTCATGTCACATTAAATACATTAGATTACACCTTACTGTATTATGACAGAAGCTCATGTTAGAAATTGAATGATCTAATATCCAAGCATTTTATTAAACTAAACAATATCAGCTTTGTAGAAGTGCACTTCAAGGTTATGCAAATAATACTGTAACGTACCATAACACAATCTAATATTGTGAAGTCTGTTATTCTCAGATAACACTAAATATTATAAATAATATGAAAGAGAAGAACAAATATTTATGTAGAATAAAAGAAAAAAATGATTTTGTTGGAATCCATTAATTACCAGGCGCGCCAATAACAGCAAGAAAGTGATAGACAATGGCAAAGAAGATTCCGTTTGCTGGACCATGCATCCTTATTTTTAGAGAATGAAGGAATGCCAGAGGATGGAGGCTTTATGTCTGAGCCACGTTCGATATGTCCCTTATTTATTCTAACTCAGACTCCCCGAAGGGACAATTACGTTACATGAAAAAAGATCAGTTACAGTTCGGTGAATGATTATTTCGCTCACTTTGCCTAATCTGATTTGCGTATTAGCTTAGTTATTGTATTTACCTTATTGGTAAGATGTTCAATTGTTATTGATTTGTTTTAACTGAGGAGGAAACAATTACATACAAACTCTAGGCCAAATGGCAATTGCAAAACTTTCATTTGTCGTGCTGAACTACAAATTCAGGAAAAGGCCTCCAAATGTTAGAGGTCCACCTCAGAGTTTCTGATCCTTGGAAAATATTCGATATTTTACCTTCAATCGTTCTCTGTGGCGCAGAATTGCACAGGCTGACCTCTCTCTAGGTGATAAAATATATTTTCGATTCCATTCACGCTTAATGCTTGAGGAAAACCATAGTCCCATGAAATATTAGCAGAGGTAGAAACCAACGCCATAATGAAGAAAACAGGTAGAGTTCATTATAATTACAGCAAAATCAAAAAGAAATAGAAGCTTATGTTTTGCTGCAAGTGCCAACACAGTAATTCATTTCTGTGCAGAGCATATCTAAAATGGAATCATTTCTTTCTCTAAATTTGCATGCTGTGCTTCAAATCTGTGATAAGTTATCTTTGAATGGGAGATAGCAAAAAAGAGGTGTGTTTGCAGGTTTCATCCTGGGGAAAGACTGAGTGATTAAATGCCATGCTTCTATTTCTTAATATTCTGTTAAACACTTTTCCAAAATGATTTTCTTAATGGAGGAGGTCTGAATATTTATTCTTGTTTCAATTTGATATTCTTTGACGTCGTATCCTGGGCTGTTGTGTTGATGTTACTATCGATGCAATCTGAGTCAGAGAGAAAGAGTCAGAGAACATTTCTTTTCTCAGAACATAAAGAAGCTTGTCGACCCATTGTGCTCACAACACTCATCAAACATCCACCTATTTTGATCCTATATGTCGGCGCTTGGCTTCTAACCGTTTTTGTTTTTATATTTGAATTGGTCATTTGTCTTCTTCCTAATTCTATTGATGGTTACCACTTCTACCTCTGTGTTCCTCCGTGTCAATGTCATTTTTATTGTAATTTCCTGATTCCGTAATGTGTCTTGACGTCATTTTTCCCATTTATGTGGAGTATCCACTTCTGACGGTCTTTGTCCTCATTACAGTAAGCGTTCATGTGCTCACAAAAAAAATAATTTTAACGAAAGGTTTTGAGTCTCAAATCTGCCCACACGCCTCCCTCAATGCATCATCGTTCTTGCTCCAAAAGGTAAATAAACTATGTGCAAAATATCTGTTAAAACCGTTTCACTTTGCGAAAGTGGAGAGACAATTGATGAATAAGAGTCTACGAGAGGAAGTGGGGAAAAGGGGAAAGAAAAAATAGAGAATTAATGAAAATGAAGATTCACGCAAATGCAAGTATACAACATGACTAAATTGAAAAATAAAAGCAAGAAAGTATAAAGCTTGTGATTGTCTTTCTTCTCCCCCACTGCTTCTTACAAAGCTTCATTCTGTTTTTTATGATGTTGATGTTGAAAACATTGGCAATGCAAGGCCATCACACCTTTCCGATTCCAACCAATGACTTGGTGGTGCTCATCCTTCTTCACTCGAGTACCAGTGCTAAATTATATCCATAGAGCTTTCAGCTAAGTGATTGCTAAAGTTGGCACCCGCGGCTGATGGAAGACTTGGAATATATTTACAAGTAGGAATGCCAACAAGTTTGAAGGAAAAGCGATTGTGATGGACTCTCTTGGACCCTATGCATTTCGGTGTCATTTAGGTCGTGAGTGTGGAACGTGCTTTTGAAGAAAATTGCTCTATTCTTCCCATTTTAATGGCGTTAATGTAATGGAGTTAATTAGGTGCATGGGTTATTTTTATTGTCTCAGTCAATGAATGGGTCGCCCGTAAAATAAATAATTTCTAACAGGCACGTCATCCAACACTTGATTCTGTCGCCACTAATACCGCGTGGTGGTAGTGTTGTATATCATCTGCAAGATATATTGCAACTCCTCAACAAGCCTTATTCGACAGAACATTCTAAACATGCAATCTCTGCTGTACCTCGATGTACAAGGGCAGCAGCTGCATGAAAACACCACATACTCTGAATTATGTGTCTATGCAATCTCCCCAAATCCCGAGCATCTTTTTGACTGTACATATGCATATTTCAAAATAACTTTGTAGTAACTCAAAATCGGAAAATAAAATATACATGAGTCCCTTCACCTCAATAATAAGCTGTAGATCGGGAAGATAGCGCAACCCACTACTCACATCGACAATTCGAGAAATTGCAATAGTTAATCTAGGGCTAAAGTACTTTTAAGTCTTCAACAAATGAACTGTAATGATATTTAAAATGTCGTGGTTAGCGTTGTCCATTAGTGAGATGTTGAGTTTTCGTTAATAGGAAATGGATGCTCCACTTACAAAAGCCTGAGCTTCTGCGTTGTGATATCCAGTCAAGGTTTTCTTCATCATTTTTCTTTTGTAAAGGAGAATCCAACCTTTTGCAATGGTAGTATTTAGTAAGGGGATCTGAATACTGCTCTCCTGAGGCGCCGTTTCTGTCTGCAGTCGATGCAAGTAAACTTGACCAATGCTTCCAGCCACCGGGATCAATTGTCCAATTCAAATTAGACATCGAGGCACTCTCATCACCCAGAACAGTCAACACTTTTGTTTAATTCATTACAACGGTTTATAAAATAAAGGATTTGATCTTTAAATATACAATTCAATCCCTGGAGCCAATCTGATATTCAGATCGGTTCAACTGGAGCTGTTGCTGTTTTTGACTTAGGTTCATGGTGTCATAGTGCATAGAAACAGACCCTTCACTTCAAAAGGTTCACGCCAGCCTTCTTCGCAAATTAACTCGTCCTGTCTGGCTGCCAGTGGCCCATATTCACCCAAACGTTCTCTTTTCATTATTATTTTTTAAACATTAACTTTCAAAGTTGGAACCGTTTTTGCAACGAACGCATTCTCTGGAAATCATTCCTCACACAAACCATTCTCCCTGTGAAACAAAAAAAAATGCTACTCATGCCTTCTTTAAAATCTTTCTCCTCTCGCCTTAAAGATATGCCCCATAATCTTGAGCTCCTCCACCCTAGGGAAAAATAATCTCGCCTTTCACTTTAAAGATGTTCCTCCCGAATGTATAAGCCTTCAATATGACACACCTCAAACTCCTAAGATCCGGTGGAAAAATAATCCCAGACTTTCGTGTATTTTTATATCTCAACACCTCCCTTCCTAGCAGCATCCTGGTAAACATTTTCTGAATTCACTCCACTTTAATAATATCCTTCCAAAAACACAGCGGTAAGAGCGATACACAGTACTCCATAAAAGTCATCACTAACGTCCTGTACAACCTCAACATGACCTCCCAATTCATATCTAAACGCCTTCTTAACCAAACTGTCTAATTGTAACACAAATTTTAGAGAATTATGTACCTGAACCTCTATGGTTTCTCCGTTCTACAAAATTACCCAGGGCCTTAGCATTAATTGTATAAACCCTGTCAATACCAATGCAATACCTCACATTTATCCAATTTAAACTCTATCTAACTGTCTTCAGGCCATTGACTCAATTGGTAAAGATCTCAGATAACCTTTTTCACGGTCTAGTCTACCGCCCATATTGGTGTCTTCCACAAATGTACAAATTTCGCCTCCTATATTTCCACCCAAATCGTTTATGTAAATGACAAAGAGAATTGGAAACAATGCAGATCCTTGTGGACTACCGATGGTCACATATTTCCAGTCCAAAAAACAGCCCTCTGTGCCTGCCATGAAGCCAATTTTGGATGCAATTGGCAAGCTCACCCTGAATCCCGTGCGATATAACTTTACTAACTAGACTACCATGTGGTACCTTGTCAAAGGTTTTACTAAAATCTAAGTAACATTTACGGCTTTGCGCTGATCAATCTTGTTATTTCATTTAAATACTGCAATCACGTTTGTGAAACATGGTTTTCCTCACGCAAAACCATGTTTCCTATCCCTAATCAGTCCTGGCGTCTTGAAATGCATGTAAATCTTCTTTTTAAGACTAATTAACTTAGAAGAAGCAGTGTGAGACTCACAGGTCGATCATCAGACTACCCATTGCAGTCGTTGTTAAGCAATGGCACAAGGTTATCCACACTCTGGTCCTCTGGCACATTACTTGTGTGTATAAATGATACAAATATTTCTGCAAGACCCCCCCCAATTTCTTAACCACATTCCCACAACGTCCTGGCTATCGCTCGAACAGGTGTTGGAGATTTATCTACCTTTACTTTCTTCCTCATCACTACTTCCTCTTCTGTAGTGTGAATAGTTTTCAAAACATCTTTATTTCCCTGACTTTTCTAGCATCCATTTATTTGTCGACAGTAAAAATGGACGCGAAATACTCACTTAATATTTCTCCAATCTCCTGCAGTTCAACACAAAAATGACCCCGTTGATTTTAAGGTGTTCTACTTTCTCTGTCTTTCTTCTCTTAGCCTCAATGTGTTTGTAGTTTTTTTCGGATTATCTTAAACCTTATCTTCCAAGCCAGCTCATATTCCCTCTTCGCATTTCTGATTTTCTTCTTCGGAATTTCCCTAGATTCTTTGTACTCATCAAGAGATTCGATTGATCGCTGTTGTCTACATCGAATATGTGATTTTTTTTTCTTGACGAAACCTCAATATCTTTATTCATCCATTGTTCTGGAATATTACCAGCGTTACCTCTCAATATAACAAGTACATAACGCATCTGAACTCTCGTTATCAAACTTTTGAATGCTTCCCACTTCCCTGACGTCACTTTACCTGTGAACAGTCTACTTCAATCAATTTTTGAAAGTTCTTGCTTAATACCGT